TGGTGGTGGTGATGGTGGTGATGGTGATGGTGATGGTGGTGGTGGTGGTGGTGATGGTGATGATGATGGAGATGGTGGTGGTGATGGAGATGGTGGTGATGGTTGTGATGGTGATGGCGATGATGGTGATGGTGGTGGTGGTGGTGATGGTGATGGTGATGGTGGTGATGGTGGTGATGATGATGGTGATGATGGTGGTGATGGTGGTGATGGTGATGATGGTGGTGATGGTGATGGTGGTGGTGGTGGTGATGGACGCCTCCTCAGAGCCATGAGCTAAGCTAGGCACTTTGACCTGAACTCTCCCTAATCCTCACAACTGCTTTAAGAAAAAAAGGAATTATTTCCCAAGTTTGGCAGGTGGTAAAGTGAAGCCCAAAGAGGTTAGGTGACTGGTTTCAGGTTATGCAGGTTACACAGAGCTGTGCTGACAGTATCAGGTTGGTCTCTGAACAAACCTTCTTCTTCCTTGGCCTCATCAGTAAACACATTGAGATATGTGGGTGAGCAGATTCCACTTCTGCGTGGGAACACTATGGGTTAAAATGTGCCAAAAAGAATTCCGTTTCAGTGTAACCATCGGAAGCTTTGGCAGCATCCTCAGGTGCTGTGTGATGCACGACGGACCACGACCACACTGTGGACGCCCAGACTGGACTTCCCTGACTTACAGTTTAAAGAATTCGTGTTCCGCAAGTGGCCACACCGTGTGCTGGAGGTTGGCCAGTTTTCATGCTTTCTGGTTGCTAGTTTCCAGATTAGGGCAACTACAGTCTTACAAATTATTCACCAGTATCTTAGGAAATGTGACATCATAGGTTTGTTGAATTGAGGCTTAAAATATCTTCAAAATAGGGGGTTTGAAAATGAGTCATAGAGTTGAAAGTGGAATAAGGGACAGTTGGCAGTCTCCTACCCAGCTGCGCTACGACTTCCTGCTGCTTTAAAGAAAATGAAGGAGTGACATGTGAAGTTCATGACGGCAGCACTCGCCACCAGCACCCGTGTGCCGCACTGACTTCACCCTGTTTCACAGACCGAGAGGTTAGCTAACTCCAGAAGCAAAGGTCACCGAGCTTGTCAGCGTCCAGGGCCAACTCACACCCAGGCAGCCCTGCCCCCGATCCAGCTACGTCTGCTGGTTTCTCCTGGCGATGGAGCCACGACAGGAGGCGGCCATGACAGCACCTTCTCCATGCCCAGGCTTCTGGGTTACGGGCTGGGCACCCTCACCCTGAAGCTGTAGAAGGTGCCCGAGGACACCCTCAGGCTGCCCTCGTTTACAGAGGGCCTGCATGCCTCATGTAAACCAGTGACTTCTGTTGTTCTGCAGCTTGTTTTTGATGACCTACTGAACTATGCTTTCTCCCTCTTCACTGGCTCAGAGCATAAGCAGACCCCAAACAGGCCATTTGTCTGGCACAGACACACTCTGTTGTGACCTGTCACAGGCTGTGTATAGTCGGACTTGTCCTCTCCAGGAGCTGCCCAAGCCCACCACATTTTAAGGCCCTTGAGCAGAAGCTGCCGCTGACTGCATGTGTAGCAAAGAGAGGACAGATGCTGTGGGCACATGAGCGGGGTGTTTGGGCGCGGGTCCCAGCCCCCCGGGGTGGTGGCCTGACCAGGAGTTCACAGAGCCTTTCTGAACGGAGCTCAGCTGAGCCGAAGGTTGACATTTACACCCATTTGTGGGAAACTGCTGGAGGGGCTGTTTGTTGTGGCATTTTTCTCTCTCTCATGAATCTTACTTTTTCTTCTCTAAAGCAAAAGCAGTTGATTGCAGCTAGTACTTAGACAAAATTAAACAATTTGATGACAGCTAAAACACATCATCTTAGAAATAAAACAATCCTACAGATGGTGTCCATTCTCCTCCTTTGACAGAGGAAAATTGAGTCTTAAAAGGTCAAGTCATGGACTGGCCGAGTGGCACGTTGGTTAGGAGTTGGCTTGGGACGCCAGCTCTGAGCAGCAGGGCCCCGGTTCAGATCCCACATGAGGGCCAGTGGCGCTGCGCCCTCTACAGCTAAGATGGTGAAAAACAGCTCGACCTGGAGCTGGGCTGCCGTGACTGGAGCTTTTATGAGCCGCCGTGAGCTGCCATGAGTGGCCATGAGTGGCCGTCCAATGGCCGGCGAGCGACTGCTTCACCCGGGAAGAGCGCAATGATAATACCAACATGGGCCAGTGAAGCGACGTCCTCCACACCTAGACTGAAGAACAAAAGGACAGCAACTTGTCTGTTCCCCTTCCCCGATTCCCCAACACTGTTCCCTTTCCCCAATTCCCCAGTAAAATCTTTTTTAAAAAATACAAAGATCAAGTCATTTGCTCAAGTTCAAATGTGCGAGGGAAAACTGGAACCTGTATCAGTCCGTTTCCTGATTTGCATTCTGTTTCACCAAAAGCTATCCTGGGAGACTTAGACGCAAATATTTTTGAAAATAGCCAGACATAGGAGTCTGGGCCACTTGTCTTAAATTCAGTGATGTCTGCACATCTTAACTATGTCCCAAGACACGCACCCCATTGACTCAATGGTGACCACGTACCCCGAGGGAGGCACATGTAGAAATATCAGTGGGCCAGATTGTATAAATGTGCTGTCCACGGGCCCACGCCTGGAACTGTTCTGAGAGCCTCAACGTTGGGAACAACTGTCCATGAGGTTTCGATGGTGCCATCGTCAGAGGTAGACTATTGAGATTTCTGGTGTGTTTATAGCCGTCCTGGAGGTGAGGACGACTGGGCCTTGATTTGTCTGGTGGGAAAAGAAAGTGTGATGGGAATGCGTCTTCCTGGGGAAATTCACGAAAGGAATGTGGAGGTGACAGGGGTTGCTCCCTGAAAGGCCATGTTAGCTCGGCCATGCATTCGATGTTATGTGTAATTACTCACCCAGAGACCCCGGCGACTTCCCCGTGCAGAGTACTTCTGGGAAAGGAAGGGGACGTGAAGGTGATTTAAGTAACCAGCAAAGCCACTTCCTGACCACCAGGATGGGTGCAGCCAACGGGGTGACAGGAGAACAGTGCAGCTGAGGAGGTGGGACGGTTGGAGCCCCTGCGTGCTGCTGGTTGGGAGTTAGGCGGTGCCGCCGTGCTGGACGCCGTTTGGCAGTTCCTTTGTGAGTTAAGTGTAGCTACCACACTGCCCAGCAAGTTCAGTCCTGGGTGCATACCCAAGAAAATGGAAAACATAAAAACTTGTACTTGAAGAGCCACAGCAATCTATTCATATTGGCCAAAAAGTAGGAAAAAACCCGTGTCCAACAGCTGATGAACGAATAAATAAAATGTGCTGAATCCTTCAAACGGATTATTCTTCAGCCATGAAAAGGAACAAGGCACTGATGCTACAACGTGGAGGCACCTTGAAAACACAGTGCTACGTGGGAAAAGCCAGACACAAGGCCACATGTGTGGCCGCTTTTCCATGAAATGCCCAGAACAGGCAAACCCAGGGGGACGGAACGTACCTGAGTGGCTACCGGGGACTGGGGCTGGGGGAATGGGTGCAAGGTTTCTTTTGGGGTGCTGGGAATGTTCTGCATTAGTGTAAAGGAGGAATAGTAGTGTCGTTTGCACAACTCTGGCTACACTAAAAACAACCGAATTGGGTGCATTTCATGGCATGTGAATTAATCCCAGTGAGGCTATTATTAAAAACCAGTGCAGTGACAGGTTTTGGTCCATCCGCGCACTGACAGCCGTGGTGCCTGTACTGGGCATGCGTTTCCTACGCCTGGTGTGTTCAGTGCTTTGAAACTGTAGACCCCGTGCCATTCTGGCGCGTGGCTGAGGACGGGAACTAACCTGCTGCTGTTTTGTTCCCCTGCCCCTGCAGGGTGAGGACCCCCTCGCTGGCAGCGTGCTGAACTATGTGGCCCAAACGCCGGCTCTGACCTACGCCCCTGCCTCCCGGGCCGGCTACCCCGCGAGTGGCCCTCTGCGGACCCTTGGCCGCCTGCAGCCCGATGAGCTCAGCCCCAAGGTGGACGGTGGTGTGGAGAAGCGGAACCTGGTCGCCGCGCTAGGCGCTTACCTAGCTATGAAGCCCCCCGAAACCCCCCAGAAGGGTGACCCCAGGCCAAACAAGCTGCAGTTTCCTTGGATGGTGCCGAGGGACCCTTCAGCACCAGTGGCCCCCCGGAAATGGTCTCCACCTCCGGAAGACCCTGAAGACCCCCCGGACGATGGTAAGTCAGCCTCACTACCCCCTCTGGTGTTTTGTTGCCCACTCATTCCTTCCTGGCACCTGCCCACGCTGGCTGTCTGCCGCGGCCTTGGCCTATGAGGTGTCTTTTCCCTCGGGAGTGGCAGAAGCCAGGCGCAGGGTCTGTGCTTCCTTGTGCAGCAGGCAGGTGAGAAGGCGGTCGTATCCATGCCAGATGAATTCAGGCAGGTGGAGCCGGAGGGAGAGCTGACGGCTCCTCCCGTGTCAGGGCTGTCCGTGGGTCAGCGCCTTCCTCTGCAGTCTCAGTTTCATGATTTTATTGAGGCAGATGATGAAACGGGAACATGGCCACATCTGGCCCCCAAATTGTGCGGGCTGCATAGGGTTTTGCAAAAGTGAACGTGAAGGCTTTAGATTCGGCATGTGCCTTCATCATGTCACCACTCCCCTGGTGCCACCACGCCCCGCTCCCTTGTGTGTGGTTACCTGTCTTGTCCCCCGAGAGCCCAGTCCCTGCATGGCCCTCAGCTCCGGGCCTGTCAGTGTCACACGTGAGACGCCCGTGAGACTCGTCCCGGGATGACAGGTGCTGACTGGCTTCTCCTCCTCCATGAGGTGCAGAAGGCTCAGACCTGTGTGTTTTCTAAAAGCCTTTTCCTAAGACCATTAAATACAAAGTGAGATCCTGAAAAAGCGTGACTTCTCCTTTGAAGGTGTACAAATAATAAAAGCAAGCAGAGTCAGGTGTTGAGAGACTGTTGACTGAGAATCGCTCTGACAGCCCTGTGTGTACGTCGAGGCCTGAGGCTGCTCCGACAGTGCCTCCCACACACGGCTGGTTTCCAGCCACGTGGTGCTCCTGCTCCTCCTCTCTGTCCGTGTGGCCGCTTAGGCTCTTCCTACACGGGAGAAATGCAAAGTTACAATTGGAGGGAAGGATGTGTGCCCATCACTAATGCTTTCTTCTTGGAAAAGAAAGGTGTGCGAGGAAACAGCTCATGCGCCTGACTGTGAGCTGTCTGCACATCAGCTTTCATGGGTGGGACCGGCGTTGACCTACAGGCACTCGCTCCCTGCAGGAGCCCCTTTCCCACCAGCATCTTTCTCTTCAGGGGCTGTTTCTTCTCTGCTTTAAACCAGGCGCCACTCAGAAACCCCTTTTATTGGCCCTGTTGCCTTCTTTGCTCCCACAGCCAGTAAACCCCATCGCTGCTCTCATCTGCTAGTTTGCCTTTCCTACGGCTGCTGTACCCTGGCCTTCCCCAGCTCAGCATGGCTTCACACCTAAAAACGCTGCTGAAGGTCACCTCCAGCCATCGGACAGCTGGTCGAGCAGTGGCCCCTGCTCAGACCTCCAGGCCCTCTCTGTGGTGCTGACTGCCCCTGTCCCATCTTCTCCTGCGTCTGTGCTCCCCACTTAGGTAATGCCGGCTGCCCTCTGCTCTCTCACGCACCCCTTCTCTCCTCCTAGCCCATCCCCACAACTGGAAAGTCCCACTGTTGATGCCTCTGTCCTGGTTGTTGGAAGTAGGAGCAGATGCATCCGGCTGCCCCAGTAAGGGGACCGGAACCCAGCGAGCACGGGGCTGTGCTGTGCCTGCTCAGGCTGCTGCGGAGCCCGCAGGCCTTCCTCCAGTTACTGGGTACCTCCCATCCTTTTCGCATCCTCTTTCAGCGTGCTCTCTCCACTGTCCAGCGAGCCTTCTTACCTGCATAATTTGGCCAGCGTTTTCTTCTGTGCAAAGTTGGTTATCTTTTTATATATACTGCCTTCCCAACTGCACTGTGTGCTTCTAAAAGAGTCGTGTAAAATGTCAATCACAAGATACATAGGAAGGCTTGTACAGTGAACCCCCATGCAACGCTGGGCTTCAGCAAACAGCAGCTCCTGGGCTGTCTACCACGTCTGTGCACCCACTGCCTCCCTTACTCTCTCCCACCTCGAATGATTTCATCTGCCAGTATTTCAGTATTGTACGGCTGACAGATAAAGACTCTTGTGTAAGCCTAACCGCAATAGCTTTATCACATGTTAAAATTAATACTAACATCTTAATATTACTAAATATCTAATCAGCATTCAGATTTCTTAGCTGTCATAAATTTTCTTTACAATTGGGCCTTTTTGTAGCAGACTACAAAGACTGTCCACGGAATTGGTGGGTCTATGTTGTAGCTTACAGAAGGTTTCTCCCTGCGACTTGAGCTTATGGGTAAAGGCCAGCGTATCCCAGAGTCGGATGGCTTGAGACAGAGTTGGAGCTCTTAAGAGCCAAAATGCAGATTTAAACACAATGTACTATGTTCCTCTGGCTCGTTGGCCCTGGACTCTAAGAGGGAGTTCAACAGCTCTCCTCACTCTGAGGGCATTTCTGAGTGGGAGCTGAAGTCTGTGTACCGGTCCGGCCCACATAGTTAATGAAGAGACAGATGTCAGCTACTGCCCCGTATCCATCCCTGGACAGTTTTATATTCTAGGCTGGCATTGGCCACCAGCACATGCCTGGTCCCCTTGTCATTGCCAGTTAACTTCTGGGCATGCAAACTCGTGTTAATGTGAATCTAACTGAAATATCCTTTAGAAAGCAACTTGACAGCCAGCCCTGCCACCAACTGAGTCACATAATCGGTGCCAAAGCTGATTTATATTACTTGTTCTCGGCCTCACTATTACATGTAACAGCGAGAGAGTTACGGCTGGGTGTACAGAGTTCTACGAGTACAAAATAAGCAGCCTGACTGAGCAAGGAGTGCTGTCACCCAGTGGCAGTCGGGCTCTTCTCATTTAGCCAGCGAGTGGTGCACGCCACTTAGCTGTCAAACCCTCAGCCCCTCAAGTGGGAAGGAGAACACGTTTTACTTTACTTGTGTTGTTTTCAGGGGAAATAGACAGGAAGCTGACATATGATTATGCCTCGATCTCCCGGGTGAAAGCACAGATGAGGACAGAATAAAATAATAAGCTCCTTCTGGATTTATCTGAATTGTTTGCAAATACCAGAGAGCTGGCTTCCAGGAATTAAATGAACTACATATTCTTTAAACAAAAGGAGCAGGGTAAATTCCTCATGATGATAATGATGGTGGTGGTGGTGATGGAGGTGGTAGAGGTGGTGGTGATGGAGGTGGTGGTGGTGATGGAGGTGGTGGAGGTGGTGGTGGTGGTGGTGGTGGTG